CTTACTTCTGTATGTGGACTGAGTGTTGCCCCAAATACTGTCTGTTTTTCAACGGGGACCTCCCCGACAGAAAGCAACCCAGATACCGGGGACCTCCGGACACGCCAGATACCATGCTCCCCCTCTTTCATTTTTCTTATTTTTCATATTTTTTCTTTTACTAATTTTTTAAATTTTTCGTATCTTTGCCCTGGAAAAGTTGTACCCCAATATTCCTTGTACAACGTACCTACGTTGTATTCGAATACAACGTACCTGGTACGTTGTATTCGTATACAGTACGTTGTATTCGTATACAGTACGTTGTTTTCGGGTTAAGACTGTAGCAGAGTTGAGCTACCTCAACGCTTGAATCTGGACGCTTTTGCTGAGATGTGCAGAAATGGCGTTGAGTTTCCTGAACTGTACGTGTCCACAGACACGTCCAGATTCAGGCGTTGAGGTAGCTCAAGGCTGCTAGTGGGACTTGGCCCCCGGGTGGTTTTGATGATGATGATGTTTTTTTTTTTTTTTTTCTCCTTATGCTATATTCTTTTCTTTTTTTTTCTTTTTTTCTTTTTTCTTTTTCAAAAGGGCGACGGCCTTGAGATATTATCATTGAGCTGACGGGCCCCAAGCAATTCATTCGTAGTTGATTTTACTCGTCAAGTTCCATCATCTGGATTCAAACACAGGTCTGTATGGGTCTCGCTCCACTACTATCTGCCGTACACAATTTCGTATAGCAGCGGTATAGCTGTCAGAGCTCTAAAAACCGTATAAAACCTAGTGTCGCTCCACTTACTATCCGCTATACGAGTCTCCAATTTTGGAGTTGACTACAAAGCACTCTCACATCACTACAAGACATCAATTTGTCGGCCCAGACTCCAGGCTCTCCATACGATTTTGCGATGCTACGCCGACCTCCTTCGACCACCCTCCGAGTAACAACTTCTGCAGGCTGTGAACCATACGGGATCGTATGGTGAATCCAGAGGGTGCCATCTGACATCCATACGGTGATTTCTGAAGGTGGATTTCGGATAGTAAGTGGAGCGGTGACTTACTATCTGAAATCATACAGCAGATAGTAGTGGAGCGAGACCCTATTTCAACAGTTCATGGGTGTACCCACTGGGCTAGGCTCTTGGGTCTTTTCTTTTTTTCCCCCTAAACTATGTTCTTCTCTCAAATTATTTTTGCCTTTCACTACCTTCCTACCACTACTCCTAAGACTAGAGAGAGAGAGAGAGAGAGAGAGAGAGAGAGAGAGAGAGAGAGAGAGAGAGAGAGGACCGCTGCAAGCATAGGGCCTTCGCTCAAAAGGCCAAAGGCCGTCACACTTCGAAAAGAAAAAGGAAATTAAAAGAAAACACTGTTGGAAATGGTGAATATATATATATATATATATATATATATATATATATATATATATTTTACAATGAAATAATTCTGAAATACCTGGCTAAAAAAAGAATATCAGTCTGTAATTCTTCCTAAGCAAATTTGGGGCTCCATGATGATATCTTTCTTCTTCTTCTTCGTGTTTTTTATTTTTTTTATTTTTATAATGATGGTATCTCAAGGCCGAGTGTATCTTTGCCATATTGACGACCAATATAATATATATTTTTTACAATGAAATAATTCTGAAATACCCGGCTAAAAAAAGAATATCAGTCTATAATTCTTCCTAAGCAAATTTGGGGTT